TACCCCAGTTGCCTCCTTACTTCTTAAGGAAGTCTTCATGCCACAGCTGTAAGTGGTCAAATAAAGTGCATCTTAGTGATTCTCTTGTGGATCCTGTTCTTCCTCTTCCTATTCTTCTCACTTCATGAGTTTCAGATGGGTTGTCCTGATTCACAAGAAGCTTGTGCACATTCACTGAAGGAGGAATTACGTCTTCGATGTAATGAAGTCATGCAGGTGGCCATGGAAATGGCTGTGTCAGATTCTGACTCACACAAATCTAAACTGTTCTTCATTTACCAGCCAATTGCAAATGAACCGTCTGCCATTGGTGGCACACAGAAAAACTGTGTTCATAGAGATGAAAGTTTTGATACATTGATATCTCAAGTGTTTCAGAAGGAGGCTTTCTATTATTTTTAAATCCAATAAATAAATCTCCTTAAGTATCCTATAAGTAACAGAGACTACTGAACAAGTTGCAACTAGAAAGGAATACTAAAGGCACTCAATTTTTTTCTCTTGCATAATTAAGGCTCTCAATTCTATATATATCAAGCCTTAGATTTCATTGGACACTTAATCTCAAATAACCATTGTCAAATGTGCAGGTCAGCAATGGACTCAATATTGGAGACAAAAAACAGAATTTTGCTGCATACATATTAAGCAACTGATGATCAGCTAGATTTGGGATCCTACATTACACAGAAAATGACTCATCAAATTACTCAGGCTTATATTTATTCTCTTTTTTAATTCGATTAAGTGCTAATGTCTATACTAAATCTCTCCTTTTTATATTTTTTATATTTGGAGTTTAGGAAGAAAATTGTTAACAAAGAACATCTATACTCTCCAGCAACACAGCCTGGGACAACCACCTGCATGGTAAAGTTTCCTTTGCATGGTCTAGATCCATTCCATTTCTGATTTGCTCATTGTTCTGAACAACAAAACACCTTTCATAGGGAAAAAAACAAAAGTAGAAACTAGGGAGCTCCTCTAAAGGCAAATGGAGTGAGGGCTAGCAGTTCCTCAACTACACTTTTTGGATGCAAAAAGCTGAAAGCTGGGCATAGAAGATGAAGGCATTCTCCTTTTTGTGAAATAGAAGGGAATCAAACCTAAAAAAATGTAGTTTTTATAAATCTATTCGTATTGTATAACCTACTAATCATATGTTAACAAAAAAAATTATAATAATGCTAAAATTACAAATCTTTGTATAAACTTCTTGGGAGATGCTGCCAATCCTTCTGCTCTGTCTGTTGATTCTGTACTGAACTTAGCACATATCAAACTTTTCTTATTGATGCGTTGTACCAAATGCCAATAGCTTTATTTAAGAGAATCAAATCTCAT